CTCTCCAGTCTTCACTTTGGTGATATTTTCTGTGCTGCATACAGAAAAAGCCGGTGTGTTGTTTCACGTTTATGACACTACTTAGGACATGTCCTTTTTTGGACAGGGATGGTGTAGTAATATAGTAATAATATAATACAATGTAATGCGTACTACTAATATTGTGCTATGCTAATAATATAATATATTGTATGCACATATAATATTGATCATAATATTGCAATACAGTATAATACTAATAATAATAATAATACAATATAATAATTGTATATTATATATTACATGTAATATTACTAGTAATCATAGAATCATAGAGTTGGAAGAGACCTCATGGGCCGTCCAGTCCAAGAAACAGGAAAATTGCATTCAAAGCACCCCCGACAGATGGCCATTTGTTTAAAAGTTTCCAAAGAAGGAGCCTTCACCACACTCCGGAGCAGAGAGTTCCACTGCTGAACAGCTCTCACAGTCAGGAAGTTCTTCCCAGTGTTCATGGATTTCCTTTGACTCTTTGTTCCTGCCTTCCTTGGTATCTGATGAACTATATCAGATTTATTGTCAAAGGCTTTCATGGCTGGAATCACTGGTTTGTTGTAGGTTTTTCGGGCTGTATGGCCATGTTCTAGAAGCATTATCTCTTGACGTTTCGCCTGCATCTATGGCATGCATCCTCAGAGGTTGTGAGGTCTCATCTGATTATTTTTCTGTGGATTACTTTTTACTGCTTTGGCTACATATATTCCTAAATAAACTGCTTGCTGATTTTACCCAGCTGGTGTTGAAGTCAGAGGTGATCCTGTTCTTGGGTGCAACACTCAAGTTTTAATATTCAGGTGGAACACTACGTGTCTTGACCAGGGTTAGACTCCCTCCTTGGCAATGGAAACCCACTCTCTCAGCTTCAGAGGAAGGCAATAGGGAAGACCCATATAGGTCCGTCATGAATCGGCTACATATATTCCTAAATAAACTGCTTGCTGATTTTACCCAAATAGAGGGAGAAACCGTGGAGGCCGTGACAGACTTTGTATTTCTAGGTGCAAAGATGACTGCAGATGCAGACTGTGGCCAGGAAATCAGAAGACGCTTACTTCTTGGGAGGAGAGCAATGTCCAATCTCGATAAAATAGTAAAGAGTAGAGACATCACACTGGCAACAAAGATCCGCCTAGTCAAAGCCATGGTATTCCCTGTAGTAACCTACGGATGTGAGAGCTGGACCTTAGGGAAGGCTGAGAGAAGGAAGATAGATGCTTTTGAGCTGTGGTGTTGGAGGAAAGTTCTGAGAGTGCCTTGGACTGCGAAAAGATCCAACCAGTCCATCCTCCAGGAAATAAAGCCCGACTGCTCACTGGAGGGAAAGATACTAGAGACAAAGTTGAAGTACTTTGGCCACATCATGAGGAGACAGGAAAGCCTAGAGAAGACAATTATGCTGGGGAAAGTGGAAGGCTAAAGGAAGAGGGGCCGACCAAGGGCAAGATGGATGGATGGCATCCTTGAAGTGACTGGACTGACCTTGAGGGAGCTGGGGGTGGTAACGGCCGACAGGGAGCTCTGGCGTGGGCTGGTCCATGAGGTCACAAAGAGTCGGAGACGACTGAACAAATGAACAACAACATTCCTAAATAAACTGCTTGCTGATTTTACCCAGCTGGTGTTGAAGTCAGAGGTGATCCTGCACTTGGGTGCAACACTCAAGCCCTAATGTTCAGGTGGAACACTACATGTCTTGACCAGGGTTAGACTCCCTCCTTGGTAATGGAAACCCACTCTCTCAGCTTCAGAGGAAGGCATAGGGAAGACCCATATAGGTCCGTCATGAATCGGCTACATATATTCCTAAATAAACTGCTTGCTGATTTTACCCAGCTGGTGTTGAAGTCAGAGGTGATCCTGCTCTTGGGTGCAACACTCAAGCCCTAATGTTCAGGTGGAACACTACATGTCTTGACCAGGGTTAGACTCCCTCCTTGGCAATGGAAACCCACTCTCTCAGCTTCAGAGGAAGGCAATAGGGAAGACCCATATAGGTCCGTCATGAATCGGCTACATATATTCCTAAATAAACTGCTTGCTGATTTTACCCAGCTGGTGTGGAAAGTCAGAGGTGATCCTGCTCTTGGGTGCAACACTCAAGTCTAATGTTCAGGTGGAACACTACATGTCTTGACCAGGGTTAGACTCCTTCCTTGGCAATGGAAACCCACTCTCTCAGCTTCAGAGGAAGGCATAGGGAAGACCCATACAGGTCCGCCATGAATTGGCTACATATATTCCTAAATAAACTGCTTGCTGATTTTACCCAGCTGGTGTTGAAAGTCAGAGGTGATCCTGCTCTTGGGTGCAACACTCAAGTCTAATGTTCAGGTGGAACACTACATGTCTTGACCAGGGTTAGACTCCTTCCTTGGCAATGGAAACCCACTCTCTCAGCTTCAGAGGAAGGCATAGGGAAGACCCATACAGGTCCGCCATGAATTGGCTACATATATTCCTAAATAAACTGCTTGCTGATTTTACCCAGCTGGTGTTGAAAGTCAGAGGTGATCCTGCTCTTGGGTGCAACACTCAAGTCTTAATGTTCAGGTGGAACACTACGTGTCTTGACCAGGGTTAGACTCCCTCCTTGGTAATGGAAACCCACTCTCTCAGCTTCAGAGGAAGGCATAGGGAAGACCTGTATAGGTCCGTCATGAATCGGAATGGTCTTGAAGGCACTCAGGTTGGAAATGGGTGAGGTGGTGTCCTCTCCCCTCCAAGTAATTTCAGTAATGTCATGGGTTGCCTTGTCTTACTATGAGAGAGACACGAGAGATGCTTTTGGAGATACAATGGGCTCTAATCCCGAGAGCCACCAATCTGACCCCTTCTTGGTCGCCTTTATCTGCTTCCCAGCGGTGGTGACCCTCTGGGCAAGACCTCAAAGTGGGGACGGTCCATCCCCTCTCCTCTGGGCAGGGATGAGAGAGCTCCGTGGCACCTTGGCAAAGGGGTGGGTGGACGGCGCACTCCTTCCTTTTTGATATTCACTCGCAGGCTTCCCGTTCCTTTCTGTCCACTCGCTGTTTATTCGATAGACTACAACGTTTCCATGGCAACAGGTTACTTTTCAAAGGAGGAACATCTTGTCATTATATTTAATCCGCTGCGGCTGAAGAGGGACTGAAATATTAAGTTGTTGTTGCCATGGAGACCACTTTGTTGCATCGCTTTCCTTTGGTGTCAGATTTCATAAACGGGGCTGGCTTCTCGCGCCGTCCTCTTAGGCTCATCCCCCCCCCTTCTTTCGCTCCCCGCTTCCCTTCACAGAATAAGCAGCCCTGTTTTTTCTCCAGCAAATTATTATTTTTTCCTTAACATGAGTACGTCAAAAGGACATCTTCAGTTATAGTAGCAAGACCAGCTCTCTTCCTTGCTTGGGGTGGAGGGGGGTATCAAATGCTTTATATTCCTTTCAAGTTAAAGGTGCCCCATAAGATTTCCAAAGCCTTTTCCTTTCTCTTCTACTTTTAATTTACTAATAACCTGTGTTCTCCTTACCAGGATCAGAAAATTTCATCAGCTGACAAAATAATAATAACAACAACAACAACAATAACAAAGCCAGCGGACCTGACGGGATCCCTGCTGAAGTAAAGTGTAATAATAATAATAATAATAATAATAATAATAATAATAATAATAGTGTGCATTTCCCCATTCAACAAATACACACACCTCACCTCTATATATAAAAGTCTTTTACCTTCCCTTCTACACTTAATTTACTAATAACTTGCGTTCTCCTTACCAGGATCAGAAAATGCCATCAACCAACAAAAAAATAATAATAATAACAAAGCCAGCGGACCTGACGGGATCCCTGCTGAAGTAAATTGGAATAATAATAATAATAATAATAATAATAATAATGTGCATTTTCCCATTCAACAAACACACCTTTATATAAAAGCCTTTTCCCTCCCCTTCTAGAGTTAATTTACTAATTAGCTGCATTCTCCTTACCAGGATCAGAAAATGTCATCAGCCGACAAAAAAATAATAATAACAAAGCCAGTGGACCTGACGGGATCCTTGCTGAAGTAAAGCGGAATAATAATAATAATAATAATAATAATAATTGTGAGCATTTTCCCTTTCAACAAACACGCACACACCTCTATATACAAGCCTTTTCCATTTCCTTCTACACTTAATTTACTAATAAGCTGCGTTCTCCTTACCAGGATCAGAAAATGCCATCAGCCAACATAAAAATAACAAAGCCAGTGGACCTGATGGGATCCCTGCTGAAGTAAAGTAGAATAATAATGATAATAATGTGCATTTTCCCATTCAGTAAACACACATGCACCTCTCTATATAAAAGTCAAAGTATGTCTGTCTATTACATACCACTTCATTGCTAGGTGAAGTGGCCCTTGACAATGTCACTAGATTGGCTATTGCTAGGCGAAGCATTGGCTGTTGCTAGGTGTAGTGTCCCTATGTGATGTCACTGGGAAAGAAAGATGGCTCGTGTATTAGTGGAAGGAGGGAGGGAGCGAGGGAAGAAAGGAAGGAAGGAAGGAAGGAAGGAAGGAGTGAACCACAAAGAGAGCCATGTGGCCATGGAGGCAATTGACTCTTGGAAAGGCCTCGGACTCCAGCTTCTGGATTTGTGATTTTAATGTTTTATATTTATATGTTTTAATCCCATGTTTAAATGTCTGGATGTTGTTGTTTCTCTATTTAATGTGGTTTAATTTAATGTATAGTTAGATGTTACAGTTGCTTTTATACTAGGTTTGTAATGTATTGTAAGGCATTGGATTTTTGCTGTGAATTTACCGAATTTAATCGGTATATAAATGAAGTAAGTAAATAAATAATAGTCTAGATGAACCCAGTACTTTTTTTCCCCTGGCTGGGCTACATGACTGTTCATGTTCACATGTTACGAGATATGACAACATGAGAATGTTATTGATTTTATTTTCTGTATTTTTCTATTACAGGAGGTTGAACAGCACGCAAGGTGAAATCCGGGTTGGCCCTAGCCATCAGGTAAGATTTCCATACATATTGACCATCAAGCGGTGACTACTACTTCTTGGTGAAAGGTTACAAGACCTATCTAAATCTGTCATATGCAAATGCTATGGTTCAATAATAATAATAATAATAATAATAATAATTATTATTATTATTATTATTATTATTATTATTATTATTATTTCCCACAAGAAGCCCATATGTATATCCAATAATAATAATAATAATAATAATTTCCCACAAGAAGACCATATTTATATCCAATAATAATAATAATAATAATAATAATTTCCCACAAGAAGCCCATATGTAAATCCAATAATAATAATAATAATAATAATAATAATAATAATTTCCCACAAGAAGCCCATATGTATAATCCAATAATAATAATAATAATAATAATAATAATTTCCCACAAGAAGCCCATATGTATATCCAATAATAATAATAATAATAATAATAATTTCCCACAAGAAGCCCATATGTATATCCAATAATAATAATAATAATAATAATAATAATAATTTCCCACAAGAAGCCCATATGTATATCCAATAATAATAATAATAATAATAATAATTTCCCACAAGAAGCCCATATGTATATCCAATAATAATAATAATAATAATAATAATAATAATTTCCCACAAGAAGCCCATATGTAAATCCAATAATAATAATAATAATAATAATAATTTCCCACAAGAAGCCCATATGTATATCCAATAATAATAATAATAATAATAATAATATAAGAATACGTTGACATGAGTACCATTGTGATCCAATAATAATAATAATAATAATAATATGTATATCCAATAATAATAATAATAATAATAATTTCCCACAAGAAGCCCATATGTATATCCAATAATAATAATAATAATAATAATAATAATTTCCCACAAGAAGCCCATATGTATATCCAATAATAATAATAATAATAATAATAATAATTTCCCACAAGAAGCCCATATGTAAATCCAATAATAATAATAATTTTTATTATTACTAATTAATAATATTAATAATATTATTTTATATTATTATTAATTGGGAAGTGTCCGACGTGTGATCCAAAACAACAGGCAGCAAAGTGTCTGCTGTGGACTCATCTTGTTGTGTTTCAAATCATCATCATCATCATCATCATCATTAGGAAATTATAGAGTTTGAAGAGACCACATGGGACATCTAGTTCAACCCCCTGCCATGCAAGAAAAGCACAATCGAAATACCCCTGACAGATGGCCATCCAGCCTCTGTTTAAGGATCTTCCCCCACACTCTGAAGCAGAGAGTTCCACTGCTGAACGTCTCTTACAGTCAGGAAGTTCGTCCTAATGTTCAGGTGAAATTCATGAATAGAGATGCAGGATTTCTGGAAGTTTTCAATCCATGGAAAAACATAAACATTGGGAAAAATCGAAAATATGTGCAATCTTTGTTTCATACCAAACGTAAAAGTGTTTCATAATTTCCATGACAATGATGCACTGATTTGGCATGCAGTGAGACCTTCATATCCATCATCATCATCACACTCCCACAAGAAGGCCATATGCATCTCCAACGACAACATCTCGGCAGGATCAACCTAGTTAAAAAACATAGATGAAAACAAAAACTTATTTAAACACTTATTAGAAGACATAAGATTAAAACACATTAAATTCATTCATAGCAACAAAATGCTGCTCTAGAATCATAGAATAACAACGTTGGAAGAGACCATATGGGCCATCTAGTCTAACCCTCTGCCATGCAGGAAAAGCACTATTAAGGCACCCCTAACAGATAGCCATCCATCATAATAATAATAATAATAATAATAATAATAATAATAATAATAATAATAATAATACAGAGTTGGAAGAGATGACATGGGCCATCTAGTCCAAACCCCTGACATGCAGGAAAAGCACAAAGTTGCTTTTTACACGCAACAGCTTTTGTACTGGAGCTTCACGCATGAGGGCCCTCAACTTGGGACTTCTCTGAGCCTACTCACACTGAGGCCTACTAACACTGAAGCCTACCTAACACTGACGCCTTCTCACACACTGAGGGCTCTCTCAGACTGACACCTTTCTCCCACTGAGATGAACTAACACTGGGGCCTACTCATACTGAGGCCTACAAACACTGAGGCCTTTCTCCCACTGAGGCCTTCTCACACACTGAGGGCTCTCTCAGATACCTTTTTCCCACTGAGGCAAAAATAACACTGAGGCCTACCTCACACTGAGATCTTTCTCTCACTAAGGTCTTCTCATACACTGAGAGCTCTCTTAGACTGACACCACTGAGGTGAATTAATACTGAGGCCTTCTCATACTGAGGTCTATTAACACACTGAGACCTCACACACTGAGGGCTCTCTCAGAATGATACCTTTTTCCCCACTGAGGTGAACTAACGCTGATGCCTTCTCATACTAACACTGAGGCCTACCTCACACTGAGATCTTTCTCTCACTGAGGTCTTCTCATACACTGAGGGCTCTCTTAGACTGACACCTTTCTCCCACTGAGATGAACTAACACTGGGGCCTACTCATACTGAGGCCTACAAACACTGAGGCCTTTCTCCCACTGAGGCCTTCTCACACACTGAGGGCTCTCTCAGATACCTTTTTCCCACTGAGGCAAAAATAACACTGAGGCCTACCTCACACTGAGATCTTTCTCTCACTAAGGTCTTCTCATACACTGAGAGCTCTCTTAGACTGACACCACTGAGGTGAATTAATACTGAGGCCTTCTCATACTGAGGTCTATTAACACACTGAGACCTCACACACTGAGGGCTCTCTCAGAATGATACCTTTTTCCCCACTGAGGTGAACTAACGCTGATGCCTTCTCATACTAACACTGAGGCCTACCTCACACTGAGATCTTTCTCTCACTGAGGTCTTCTCATACACTGAGGGCTCTCTTAGACTGACATCTTTCTCCAACTGAGGCAAACTAATACTGAGGCCTTCTCATATTGAGCCCTATTAACCCACTAAGACCCTTCTCCCACAGAGAACTCTAACAGACTGAGGGCTTCTGCGGGCTCCCTCAGACTGATGCCTCTCTCACACTGAGGCAAACTAAGCTTCTCACACCAGGTCTTCTCATACTGAGGTCTACTAACACTGAGGCCTATCTCCCACTGAGGCCTCCCTACCACTGAGGCCTACTAAGCTACAGGCACACCTGCTTATATAGAACTGCAGCTTTTCCTAAGGCATTGCATCCATTTAACCCTTTCAGTGCTTGACTCACATTTTTGTACTTTAAAATACCTAGTTAATTTTAATATTTCTGAGAGGACGCAACTGGTGTTTCAGCGAAGCTGTTAGTAAACACTCCTGGTGGTTGCATCTACCTAGCCATGCCCTCTTCTTGCAGTGTGGGAGGCTTTAACATGCACACGAAGCAACTGAACATGCAAAAACATTTTGGAAGTGCCAGGTGGTAGTATTTATCATACCACCGCTCCCTTTACCACCGCTCTCTTCAAATCCTGCAGTGGTCCCCTAGGAAAAAATATCTTTTTCCTCCCCCAAAGGCTTAAGTTGCTGTTTGTGCTGCATTATGAGCCTGCTTGGTACGAACTCCCTGGAGTCTGGTATCGTGGGAAGCTTACTTGCTGCGCAGAGTAATCCCTTCCCTTTGCCTTAGATGGCTTAATTTCTTTTTTTGCATATTTCACAAAATACAAAGACGTTTTTGGACCCTTGGGGATGTAGATCAAGGGTATTTTTTACACCTCTACTCCCTCTGAGGCGAACTAACACTGAGGCCTTCTCATACTGAGGCCTACTAACGCTAAGGCCTCTCTCCTACAGAGACCTCTTACAGACTGTTGTAAGATTTCCTCAGTGGAAACTTGACTGTTCAAATGGCCATTAACTGAGGATAACAAAACCGTTTCAGGATTTTCTCCATTTCTTCGCATTGCAGCTTCAAGCCTGGCTGCTTCCTGCCTGGGGGAATCCTTTGTTAGGAGATGTTCCATGTATGAAACAATCAGGGGCATCTAACACCTTTAAAAGAGGCCTTCACCAAAGTATCTCTCACCAAGCCTTCTCACATTCTGAGGCTTTCCCACAGACGGAGGCCTACTTCACACAAAGGCTTCTCTCACAAACTAAGGCAGTGTTTCTCAACCTGGGGGTTGGGACCCCTGGAGGGGTCGCGAGGGGGTGTCAGAGGGGTCGCCAAAGACAATCAGAAAACAGTATTTTCTGTTGGTTGTGGGGGTTCTATGTGGAAAGTTTGGCCCAATTCCATCGGTGCGGTTCAGGATGCTCTTTGATTGTAGATGAACTATAAATCCCAGCAACTACAACTCCCAAATGCCAATTTCTATTTTCCTCAAACAACACCAGTGTTCACATTTGGGCATATTGAGTATTTGTGCCAAGTTTGGTTCAGATCCATCATTGAGTCCAAAGTTATCTCTGGATTTAGGAGAACTACAACTCCAAAACTCAAGGTCAATGCCCACCAAACACTTCCAGGATTTTCTGTTGGTTATGGGAGTTCTGTGTGCCAAGTTTGGTTCAATTTCATTGCTGGTGGAGTTTGACTGTGGGAGAACTATAAATCCCAGCAACTATAACTCCCAAATGACAAAATCAATCATCTCCCAACCCCACCAGTATTCAGATTTGGGCGTATTGGATATTTGTGCCAAATTTGATCCAGTGAATGAAAATACATCCTGCCTACATTACGATTCATAACAACAGCAAAATTACTGTTATGAAGTAGCAACGGAAATAGTGTTCTGGTTGGGGGTCACCTCACCACAACATGAGGAACTGTATTAAGGGGTCACGGCATGAGGAAGGTTGAGAAACACTGGACTAAGGCCTATCTCACACTGTGAGGCCTTCTCACAGACTGAGACCTTTCTCCCACTGAGGCAAACTTAACACAGAGGCAAACTAAGCTTCTCACACCAGGTATTCTGTCTATTAGTAATACAGTGATTCCGGCCATGGAAACCTTCAGTGTGTTTGTCTGTTTATTTTTTAAATAGCGATATGTCGAATCAGAAACTGTGCCACCATTTCTGAAGTTTGGCCTTGAAGGCATGTTCGTATGACCAAGATCCTATTCAATAGTAGCGTTGCATAAATGCACGCCAATGCCAGTTGCACAAGTTGTGCAGCCTGATGAAAAGAATTTAGGACTATGGCATGAAGTTGTATTCAATAATAATAATAATTAATAAAGTTGCCAAAACATATATTCTCCCTTAGTTTAAAATATGTACTCAGATACAAAAACAAAGCGTTCTTTTAAAAGTAACATATAGTAGTAGTAGTAGTAGTAGTAGTAGTAGTAATAACTTTATTTCCAGGCCAAGCTTCCAGAGCTGCAGCCATTCCCTTCGGGAGACGGAGACACCGTGACGCAGCACGAAGAGCTGGTATGGATGCCGGGCGTCAACGACTGCGACCTGCTCATGTACTTGAGGGCAGCCCGGTAAGGTGACCTTCATCCATTGCACACTTTTTACAAAAAATAGTGTGGAGTTGCTGCATCAGCTCCTATATAGGGATTCCACCTCCAAAGTCCATATTCACCCCTCACTCGGTTATGTCTTTGGGTTAAATCAGTGGTTCCCAACCTGTGGTCCGTGGACACCCAGTGGTCCACAAGTCCATGGCCTCACCGTTACGATATCATTGCAACAAAAGAGTCTGGTCTCACAAAATCCCCTTATAGTCAAGTGGTACCTGGTCTTAGTGGTCCCTGGTGTAAGTCGTCTTTGGTCAAAGTGGTCCCTGGTCAAGTGGTCCCTGGTCAAGTGGTCCCTGGTCAAGTGGTCCCTGGTCAAGTGGTCCCTGGTCAAAGTGGTCCCTAGTCAAGTGGTCCCTGGTCAAGAGGTCCCTAGTCAAAGTGGTCCCTGATCAAGTGGTCCCTGGTCATAGTCCCTGGTCAAAGTGGTCCCTGGTCAAAGTGGTCCCTGGTCAAAGTGGTCCCTGGTCAAAGGGGCCCTGGTCAAAGTGTTCCCTGGTCAAAGGGGTCCCTGGTCAAAGGGGTCTCTGGTCAAAGGGGTCCCTGGTCAAATGGTTCCTGGTCAAAGTAATGCATGGTCAAAGTGGTCCCTGGTCAAAGTGGTCCCTAGTCAAGTTGTCCTTGTTCTGAGTGGTCCCTGGTCTAAGTGGTCCCTGGTCTGAGTGCTTCCTGGTCAAAGAGGTCCTTGGTCTGAGTGGTCCCTTGTCTAAATAGTCCCTGGTCTAAGTGGTCCCTGATCTGAGTGGTCCCTGGTCTGAGTGGTCCCTGGTCTGAGTGGTCCCTGGTCTGAGTGGTCCCTGGTCTGAGTGGTCCCTGGTCTGAGTGGTCCGTGGTCTGAGTAGTCCCTGGTCTGAGTGGTCCGTGGTCTGAGTGGTTCCTGGTCTGAGTGGTCCCTGGTCTGAGTGGTCCCTGGTTTGAGTGGTCCCTGGTGTAAGTGGTTCCTGGTCAGAGAGGTCCCTGGTCTGAGTGGTCCCTTGTCTAAATAGTCCCTGGTCTAAGTGGTCCCTGATCTGAGTGGTCCCTGATCTAAGTGGTCCCTGGTCAAAGTAATGCATGGTCAAAGTGGTCCCTGGTCAAGTGGTCTCTGGTCAAAAAAAGGTTGGGAACCACTGGGTTAAATGTTCTTATGGACATGAATACAAGTCAACTATTTCTGTTAGTGAGGAGCAGAAGTGCTTTGCTTCTTCAAACTGTTAACAAATACTCATGTACATTTTTCTCTTCTAACCTTTCAAAGGAGCATGGCGGCGTTTGCAGGGATGTGTGATGGCGGATCCACAGAAGACGGGTGCGTGGCGGCCTCCCGGGATGACACTACTCTCAATGCACTCAACACAGTAAGTCCCCAATTGCTAGTAACCCTGCACTTCCTGGCTACTGCAGCCACAACTTGAGTTACCTTGACAGGACTCTGGTTCTCCAGATCGCAGCATCTTGGTTTCCCAAAATACAGGAATTGGCAGTTTCCATTCTTGGCTTTGAATGTGTTAACCAGTCATATAAAGGAGTGAGGTGCTTGATGCATCATGACAGCATCTTGTCCGCCTAAGGGAATAATAATAATAATAATAATAATAATAATAATAATAATAATAATAATAATAATATGCCAACTTACTTGGATCTGCACTCATCATTCGAAAATACATCACACAGTCCTAGATGCTTGGGAAGTGTTCAACTTGTTCTATATACTTCCTTCTTTGCTTCCACGCTGGGCTTCTTTCTCATGCATATAAAGAGCTTTGCTCTCACAGAGCCTCTTCTCACACCGAATTTACACAGGAGCTTCACACAGTAGCTTTACACACAGCAGCCTTCACACACTGGGGCCTTCCCACACCGAAGCTTCTCACACACTGAGACCTTTCTCCCACTTAGGCCTTCTCACACACAGAGAGCTCTCTCTGACTGACACCTTTCTCCCACTGAGGCTGATCTTTCTCCCACTGAGACCTTTCTCCCACTGAGACTTTCTCAGACTGAGGCAAACTAACACTGAGGCCCTCTCATACTGAGGCCTACTAACACACAGAGGCCCTTCTCCCACAAAGAACTCCCACAGACTGAGGGCTACTAACACTGAGGGCTACCTCAAACTGACGCCTCTCACACTGAGGCAAACTAACACTGAGGCCTACTAAGTTACAGGCACACCTGCTTATATAGAACTGCAGGTTTTGCTGAGTCATTGGATCCATTTAACTTTTTCCATGCTTGACTCACATTTTTGTAATTAAAAATATCTAGTTAATTTTTAATATTTCTGAGAGGACGCAACTGGTTTTTCAGCCGAAGCTGTTAGTAAACACCCCTGGTAGTTGCATCTACCTAGCCCTGCCCTCTTCTTGCAGCATGGGAGGCTTTAATATGCACTCGAAGCAACTGAACATGCAAAACCATTTTGAAAGTGCCAGGTTGTAGTACTTATCATGTCCCAATCCCTTCCTTTTATCACTGCTCTAACTAACACTCACTAACACTGAGGCCTTCTCATTCTGAGGCTTACTAACACTGAGGCCTACCATATATTGAGGCCTTTCTCCCTGACCATCTCACACTGAGGGCTCTCTCAGACAGGCCTTTCTCCCACTGAGACCTTCTCAGACTGAGGCGAACTAACACTGAGACTTTCTCATACTGAGGCGAACTAACACTGAGGCCTTCTCGTATTGAGGCCAACTAACACACGGAGGCCCTTCTCCCACAGAGACCTCTCACAGACTGAGGGCTACTAAGCTACAGACACACCTACTTACATTGAACTACAGCTTTTGCTGAGTCATTGGATCCATTTAACCTTTTCTCATTCTGAGGCCTACTAACACTGAGTCCTACCTTATACTGAGGCCTTTCTCCCACTTCGGTCCTCTCACACTGAGAGCTCTTTCAGACTGAGACCTTTCTCCCACTGAGACTTTCTCAGACTGAGGCAAACTAACACTGAGGCCTTCTCATACTGAGGCCAGCTAACACACGGAGGCCCTTCTCCCACAGAGACCTCTCACAGACTGAGGGCTACTAAGCTACAGATACACTGCAGCTTTTGCTGAGTCATTGGATCCATTTCACCCTTTCTCATTCTGAGGCCTACTAACACTGAGGCCTACCTTATACTGATGCCTTTCTCCCACCTTTCTCTCAGACTGAGGCCTTTCTCTCACTGAGACCTTCTCAAAACGAGGCAAACTAACACTRAGGCCTTCTAACACTAAAGCCAACTAACACACTGAGGCCCTACTCCCACAGAGACCTCTCACAGACTGAGGGCTACTAAGCTACAGACACACCTCCTTATATTGAACTACAGCTTTTGCTGAGTCATTGGATCYATTTAACCCTTTCTCATTCTGAGGCCTACTAACACTGAGKCCTACCWTATACTGAGGCCTTTCTCCCACCTAGGCRTCTCTCACTGAGGGCTCTTTCAGATTGAGGCCTTTCTCCCACTGAGACTTTCTCAGACTGAGGCGAACTAACACACGGAGGCCCTTCTCCCACAGAGACCTCTCACAGACTGAGGGCTACTAAGCTACAGATACACCTACTTACATTGAACTGCAGCTTTTGCTGAGTCATTGGATCCATTTCACCCTTTCTCATTCTGAGGCCTACTAACACTGAGGCCTACCTTATACTGATGCCTTTCTCCCACCTTTCTCTCAGACTGAGGCCTTTCTCTCACTGAGACCTTCTCAAAACGAGGCAAACTAACACTAAGGCCTTCTAACACTAAAGCCAACTAACACACTGAGGCCCTACTCCCACAGAGACCTCTCACAGACTGAGGGCTACTAAGCTACAGACACACCTCCTTATATTGAACTACAGCTTTTGCTGAGTCATTGGATCCATTTAACCCTTTCTCATTCTGAGGCCTACTAACACTGAGGCCTACCTTATACTGAGGCCTTTCTCCCACCTAGGCCTCTCACACTGAGGGCTCTTTCAGATTGAGGCCTTTCTCCCACTGAGACTTTCTCAGACTGAGGCGAACTAACACTGAGGCCTTCTCATACTGAGGCCAACTAACACACTAATTGATTTAACTGATGTGTTGTTGGGCTTGGCCTCACGTAAGCCGCCCTGAGTCCCCTTGGGGAGATGGTGGCGGGGTTTAAATAAAGTATTATTATTATTATTATTATTATTATTATTATAATATTAAAAATGCTTGACTCACATTTTTTAAATTAAAAATACCTAGTTAATTTTTAATATTTCTGGCAACTTGTTAGGAGTAAGCCAGCTGCACTGCTGCATCCTTGAGTCTCTATTTGAATTTCCGTGGAGCCAAATGCAGGACTCGGTCCTCAGTTTCTCTGTGCAATTACCCCTGCTGTTCCCCGGTCCTCCCTTGAGGATGGACCGCCGTCTGCTTCTGTGGGCTTTGTGGCTCTTGAGCGTGTTCTGCCACCTCCCACTTGGAGGCTCAGATGTCTCCATGAAGACTGCTAATCACCAAAGAGCTTTGGGAGTGCAAATTGTCTCCTCCGCCTCTTCGAAAGCACAACAGAGGGATGGGAATCATTCATATCGTAGCTCCTCCTCGTGTTTTTTAATTGTGTCCCTCACCCTCTCCCAGCTTGATGTTGGCAGTGCAGGAATCTTGTGACTAAGCGCCTGGGGAAATACAGCTTGGCCTCCCGTTCGGTTTTGTTGCTTTCCACTTTGTTTCAGTACGTACATGCTCTTAACAAGTGAGGAAAGATATCTGTTCCTTGCCAATTCCACACCAATGGAGAGAGTAAGGAACACTGGGATGCCTGTGGTGGAGGAAACACATGCAATCTTTTTTTCCCCCCTTGTATGAAAGCCTTCACTTGGGTGGCGAGCAGTATGGTGATTGTGGAGGACAATGGAAGGGCTCTTGGACATTTCCATGGCACGCACAATAACCCGCAATGTCATTGGAAGGAGGGCCATTGGTGTCTCCTGAATAGTGGGATTCACACCTGTTTGTGGAGGCAAGAGCTTGTCTGTGTAAGTGGACACCCCAGCCACACACACATATACATATGTATATTAGTATTATATTATAATCTATATATATAAATCTGTTAGGTTGGTTCAACGGGACAGCAAAACTCCACAACCCCCCAATGAAACTGCACCAAAATTGCCATGCCCCAAGGACAACCCACTCGGTACAAACTAATCCACTCAGAATTGAAAACAACACAACAACACACAGATAAATCGCCAAAACAACTGAGCATGCGCACTGGAGCAAAGTCCCCAGCGCGCGCGCACACATGGCCGAACGGCCAACGCACCCTCCGCACTTCCCTCCCTCCCTCGCCCCGCCCAGCACGAACACGTCGCCGCCCACACACACACACACAAACAACGCAACTTCCCCCTGCCCCCTTCCCTCCACCCCCTCCTTCATCTTACCCCTCCCACGCTGCCTCCAAGCCCCGCTCCGCACACTCCAAGCCGCATCCCCACCGGAAAGACACGCCCCCTCCCTTCGCCCCACCCCTTCCCTCCGTGACCTTGAGTATGGGAGTTGTAGTTCACCAACATCCAGACAGCACTGTGGACTCAAACAATGATGGATCCAGACCAAACTTGGCATAAGCATTAAATACGCCCAAATATGAACACAGATGGAGTTTGAGGGAAACAGACCTTGACATTTGGGAGTTGTAGTCACTGGGATTCAGAGTTCACCAACACTCAAAGAGCATCCTGAACCCCACCAACGGCAGAATTGGGGCAAACATGCCACACTGAACCCCCATGACCAACAGAAAATACTCAAGTTTACACACAAGCATAAAGAAGAGGGAGGAAGGAGGGATGCCAGAGAGAGAGGGAAAGAGGGGGAAGGAAAGAGTGTGAGAGAGAGAAAGAGGGAAAGAGAGCGAGGGAAGGAAGGAAGAGAGGCCAGGCAGAGACTTCAAAACTCTTACTAAAGGCCACAGCAACGCGTGGCAGGGCACAGCTAGTATTAATATAATATTATAATATTATATTATAATCTATTTTATTATTATATTATATTACTAGCCGTCCCCTGCCACGCGTTGCTGTGGCCCACATGGGAGTTTGTATGGGAGGTTTGGCCCATTTCTATCGTTGGTGGGGTTTAGAATGCTCTTTGATTGTTCGTGAACTATAAATCCCAGCAACTACAGCTCCCAAATGTCAAGATTCTATTTTCCCCAAACTCCATCAGAATCCACATTTGGGCATATTGCGTATTCGTGTAGAGGTCCAGATCCATCATTGTTTGAGTCCACCATGATCGCTACATGTAGGCGAACTACAACTCCAAAACTAAAGGACACTACCCACCAAACTCTTTCAGTATTTTCAGTTGGTCATGGGA